TTCTGGAATAGCTTATTTTGAAATAAATGTGCAGTGTACACGTAGCCTAAGAGTTTATTCCTTACAACAATTTTAAAGGATATCATATATATTATTACATTTTAAAAATAAAATAAAATAAAAGACAAGATGCCCAAACATTATACAGTGCAGTACATTTTGTCATGTTCAGAAAATATTCAGGAAGTAGGCTCATTGGAGAGAGAAAACTCTGAACCCTTATTAACTTATTAACTATTGAAACACCAATTCAACTACTGCTTCTTCAAGCTTCTGAAAATATATAGGACGTATGGGGCATGCTCAGAAACTTAATATATTATTAACATAGTACTCCCATTCTAACTTTACATCCTCACATTTGCATAATAATTACAGTATCAGTAACATTATGCCTATCCTTAAAAATATCATTTATTTTGTACACTTTTTTCTTTCTTACAAATGCTTTTGTTCATGCCAGGCCTGCAACATTATATTTCTAAAACAAAGATGATCTATCTACTTAGGCAGATCAACTTAATATGCTGAGAAAACTACAGAGTACGTAGAATCTCACTCCAGATATTCATTTCCAGAAATTTCAGAGTTTTTAAAAAGTGTTGTATTTAGAAACAACTGTTTTAAAATAAAGCATTGTAGGAGTAGCACTGCTGTGAAGCCAATGAAGTGGAGATAAATTATGCAAATATAATTGATTTGAACCAGACTTTGAAGGGACAACATAATGAACTCTTCCTAAAACAAGTATTTGCTCTGTGATTCATCTGATTAATTGAAACAGAACAGAAGGTCAGTGTGACAAGTTGATACATTACAGATGGTGATATAACAAGACTAAAGAAATTTACCAATTAAATACACTGAAAACAACAAGAAAGCAGGACTAATATGTGTTGACCAGAATGTGAAATTCTGTAAATCAACACAGCTCCACTGATGTGAATAGAGATAATCTGATTTGCACTAGCTGAGGATCTGGCCAAAGGTATATAGTAGTTATGTGGGGGGATGTGCACATTTGACCAGAGCTGATAATATTAGCAAACTTACACTGACTACATGAAATTCCATTTACTAAGCATGAATCAAAGCTACACGGATGTATCAGAGTATTGATCAAAATAACTTGGCAAGACATGATGTAAATGACCTAGTAGTAGACAAAAATAGAACAGCAAACAATAGTGTCGAATCCTCTTTAGAACAATGTACAATATAAAATTACTCAATTGGTATTAATCTACCAATTGCGGGAATTTATGCAGTAGAAGAAACTGCGAATCACATTAGCATATGATTAAATTCTGTTAATTTCAGTGGGACTTAAGCATGTATTTAAAGTTAAATGTATGCTTAAGCATTCCTTTCTGAATAGGAATGTTTTCCTGAGATCATTCAGGCTAAAGAAGTTGAAGATGTACATAGGCAGTGTTGCTTAGATGGGTTTTGGATTTGGGGATGTGTACAATAGTTTAGTAGGGCAACAGTTTACAATACTTGAAGTCTTCACACCAAAGAGGGAAAGGAGTTATTTTGAGTAGCTCAGTGAGGCATAGCCTTGAGTAATATGGAAAATGTAGGCTGAAAATTAAGAAAACTTGCTGAAAATGAACTCCATTAGATTATCATCCCACTTCCCCCAAAAAAATGGGGGGGGGGAAAGAGGACATTGGGTAGATAAGTTTCAAAGGGTTAGCAGAGCCAGTCTATATCCCTTTGAAACTTATCTACCCAATGTCCTCTTTTCCTCCCCTCCTATTTTTTTCCTTCCCCTCACCTCTCCCCCCTTCTCTTATTTATTCTTGATTCTGGACTTCCAACACTCTGGTCATCTGAAGAAGTGGGCTGTGCCCACAAAAGCTCATACCATCTACATGTTGTGTTAGTCTTTAAAGTGCTACTAGACTATTTGCTGTTTTTGACTCTATGATTCTACATTGTGCTGTAGGGTTGGGCTACGTCTACACTGGCCCCTTTTCTGGAAGGGGCATGTAAATTTCAGGAGTCGTCGTAGGGAAATGGCCAGTGTAGACGTAGCCTTTGTGTCTGCTTTCCCTTTCATTAAAAGTTTCTAAAACTCATCACAGAATCATGGAATTGTAGGGCTGAAAGTGACTTTAAGTCACTTTGAACCCCCTATGCTGAGGCAGAACCAAATAAACCTGAACATTCCCTGACATGTGTTTGTCCAACCTATTATTCAAAACCTCTAATGATGGAGATTCCAAAACTTCTCTTGGAAACCTATTGTAGAGATTAACTACCTTTATAATTAGAAAGATTTTCCTAATATTTAAATTTACCTGCTGCAGATTAAGCCCATTAATTCTTATCCTACCTTCCGTGGACCTGGAGAACAGTTGATCACAGTCCTCTTTTAAAACTCTTAACATATTTAAAGATTCTTGGATTCCTGCTCAGTTTTCTTTTCTCAAGATTAAGTGTACTCCATTTTTTAAATCTTTCCTCATAACTCGGATTTTCTACATTTTATATATATTTTGCTTTCTTCTGTAATTTGCAGATATCTTTCCAAAAGGATGCCTCACCAGTGCTGAGCTGAGTAGGACAATTACCTCATTGATGTGTCTTACAAACAGCACTCCTATTAATATATCCCAGAATTATATTAGCCTTTTTTTTTTTGCAACTGCATCACATTGTTGACTCATTCACTATTACCCTCAAGTCCTGGGTGAGTACCCTGATCACTTGTCTGTAGTTCTTGTATGAAGTGGATTTTGCCCACAAAAGCTCATGATACAATATATATTTTTGTTAGTCTCTAAGGTGCCACAGGATTGATTACTTGTTTTTTAAGTTACTAACCGACTAACAGGGCTACCCCTTTGAGACTTTCTTCTGCTTCATAGCCTTATTACTGTAACAGGTTTATAATATCTTATTCCACAGGCTTGCTATACGTAACCATGAAGAAAAAAACATATTTCCAAGGAGAAAGGTGTGGTGTGAAGAAAAAGAAAACAGATGCTATTTTAAACCTTTCAGGTTCTTTCATAGAATCATAGAACACTAGAACTGGAAGGGACCTCAGGAGATCAAGTCCAATCCCCCCTCTCCTTCCCCGAGCAAGACCAAGCACCATCTTCATCCCTGATAGATGTCAATCCAAATCGCTCTTAAATATTGCCAGTGATGGAGATCCCACAGTCTCCCTATGCAATTTATTCCAGTGTTCAACCATCTGGACAGTTAGGAAGTTTTTCCTAATGTCCAACTTAAACCTCCCTTGCTTCAATTTAAGCCCATTCCTTCTTGTCCTATCATCAGAGGCCAAGGAGAACAATTTTTCTCTCTCCTCCTTGTGACACCCTTTAATATACTTGAAAACTGCTATCATGTCCCCTCTCGGTCTTCTCTTTTCTAAACTAAACAAGCTCAATTATTTCTGTGTATGTCTACCCTGCAGAGTTTTTCTAGAAAAATGGCTATTTTTCCGGAAAAGCTACACATATGTTCACACTGCAATTGTGTTCTTTTGACAGAAAGTCAAAAGTACGCAGGGTTTTTCCAACAGTGGTAAACCTCTTTCTACAAGGAAGAAGCATTTTTCTAAAAGAGCTGTTTTGGAAAAAGGCGTGTGTGGACAGGGAAGAGGGTTTTGGTTTTTTTTTTAAAGAAGAGGCCTCCAGGAAAAAGCACAGGTGCCCTGATGGCTAGTTCATCCATAGTAATCACAACTTAAATGTGAGATACCATCCAATCAATGTGGACATTATCTTTCAAAAAAGCAGATCGCTTTTTTGATGCACTTTTGCTGTGTGGATGCTCTCTTTCGAAAGAAATTTTTCCGGAAGATCTCTTCTGGAAAAGCTTCTTCTCAAAGATGCCTGCAGTCTCTAGACATAGCCTCAATCTGCCCTCATAGGTTATGTTTTCTAGATTTTTAATCATTTTTGTTGCTTTTCTCTAGACCTTCTTAATTTTTCCCACATCTTTCTTGAAGTGTAATGCACAGAACTGGACCCAATACACCAACTGAGGTGTAATCAGAGCAGAATAGAGTGGAAGAATCACTTTTTGCATCTTGCTCACAACGCTCCTATTAATGCATACCAGACTTATGTTTGCATGCTTCTTTTTTTTTTTTTTTTTTTTTTTTGCAAATGTCACCCTGTTGACTCATAGTTATCTTGTGGTCCACTATGACCCCTAGATCCCTTTCTGCAGTCCTCCTTCCTAGACAGTGGCTTCCCATTCTGTGTGTATATGAAACAGATTCTTCCTTCCCAAGTGGAGTACTTTGCATTTGTCCTTATTAAACTGCCTCAGTTTCTCTAGTTTGTCCAGATCATTTTGAACTATGACCCCTATCCTCCAAAGCACTTGCAATCCCTCCCAGCTTATCATGTGCACATTTAACAAGCATAGTCTCTATGCCACCATCTAAATCATTGGGGAAAATGTTGAATAGAACTGGTCCTAAAAGAGACCCCTGTGGGACCCTACTTGTTAATGCCCTTTCAGACTGTAAACTCCTTGCAGGGAGGGGAGGACAAGGCCTTCTCCTGCCTGGCACTAGTGTAATCTCAATATAAAACAAACGACCGCGGTCAATAATAAAGTAGGATGGGAGGGGAACAGATCAGTAAAAGTACAGTCCTTGCGTGCCTGTCTGCGCACGGCTCGGCACACACGCGCGCAAAGGGAGCCACACGCGCCCGTGCCAGGGAAACAAAGGTTTTTGTGAATGAGGAGCAAGCTGCAAGCCAGCAGGCAGCAGCCGAGTGGGCCTGCGCAGCGCGGGCTGGGCGGCCGCCGCTTCCCCGCGCTCTTTGTGTGTAGCGCAGCGGGGTGTGGCCCAGCGCAGCCCCCTGCTCCCGCGGCCGCCGGCTGAGCCAGCTCCGCTCCATTCTCTCTCCCCGCCCCGCCCCCTTTGTTCGCTCCGCGGTGCGTCACGGCGGCAGCCACCAATAGACGCAGGGAGGGGCGGGGCGAAGGAGGGGGTGGGGCAGGCCGCGGGCCAATGGGCTGTGAGGAGGCTTTCAGGTGGCAGAAGCCCCGGCGGGGCCCCTCCCCCGCCCCAGCAGCGGCGCCCGGGCGCGCGGAGCGGGCAGAGTTTCGCAGCCCGGGTGGGAGATGCCGCTCTGGCGCTGTCTCCTTGCAGGTAAAGCTCGGCCGGGCGCGCTTGCTGCGCTTGCCGCAGGGGGCCAGGGCTAGGGCAGGGGGCGCTGCAGGGGGGCCGGTGTCCCGTGCACCCCGCGGCGAGTGCGCTGGGGCCGGGCAGGGGCTCCGGGGCGTCCCCCGGCGGAGCCGGCCAGGGTTGCTCTGCGCCTCGCTAGGCGGGGAGTGCGTCTTTGGCGCCCCACTTCTGCCACTGTGGGCGGCGGGGGGCAACGCGGACCCGGGTCGGCGTGGCGAGCCCCGCTCCCTCGTTCGTCCCTGTGCCGCTCCCAGCACAAAAGAGATGCACTGGGCAGCGTGCGAGCCGCGGCTTCAGCTCTGGAAACGTGTGTGTGTGTGTGTGTAGTGGTGGGGAGCTGTTTTGACTCTCGAAGTGCTTTCTGCACCGGTCTCATTCCCCGCCTTCTCCCGCTCCCCTGCTGCCGTTTCCCCAGCAGAAAAGTCCTCCGAGTACAGGCTCCGGAGGGCGAGCTCTCTGCCTCTCTCTGCTGTGTCATTGGAAACTAGGATTAAGTTTCTTGATTCCCCAAACAATGCTCTTGGCAAGCTATATTCTTATACGGGGACCATGGGCGGATCTCCTTTGTCCGATCAGAGAGGTACTCTCATGCAGGCAGAAACGGCTGGTTCCGTTTGACATGGCACACCGTCGTTAATTCACAAATATCAAAGGAATCTGTTTCGGTTACAGTAGAGTTTTAAGCTCCAGCAGTATGTTTAGATACGCTGCCAGCTAGTGGAATGTGGTGTACAATATGTAATATATTAAATACCCAACTTTTCTTTGACCTAGAAAACAACCTCTGAGAATGATATTTTTGTTAGGTATTGTGCCACACCAGTCAACAGTGAAATGGAGATATGCACCATCAATGTATCAGAAAGAGAGCAGTTATCAGACCCCAGGTGGTATGATCCCCTGGTATCAAGCACATGGTTCAGTCCTGCTCAAACAAACAAAACGTGTGTTAATGTTTCTTTCCCCATATTCAGTATTCATACTGAGCGTTTTAACAGTTCTGCCCACATAATGAAGCAAAATTGACCTATCCCTTATATAGGTCCTATTAAATAATGATGGCAAGTATACTGGCTGCTGTTTTCCATTTTCCTCATTTATAAGGGGGAATTTTCTGGGAAAGATGAATTATGATCAACTAGTGAAATTTCTTTGTATTAAGTATTTCTATAGTGGTCATCCCTGCAGTATGAAAGTGGTAGCATTGTATATGTTTCCTTGTGATTAAGAATTACACTTTTAATCTTTCATTGATTGTAAATGAAGAGTGGATTACATTTGAAAATAAATTTTGTTGTTATGGTGGTTGGTCTATTTTTCTCTGCTTGATAGTTTTTTTTTCTTTTTTCCCCACTGTTTTCCTCTGTCTTTCTCAGGTCCATACCACTTAACACCTGCATCTCAACGGACTTGTGTACCACAATAGAGAGCTTGAGGGGCACATCTCAGGAGTGTGTGTGTTCACCTGCACATTTAATTTCACAGGCTAGGAATATGTAGTCGGTTTCAAGGAACCTATGAGTTCCACTGATAAGCTCTTCAAGATTGACAGTTATAGCGCAAGGAAGTTTATTGCTTCCATTGGCTATGCTAGCAGAGCTTTCAGACTCCACAAAACTACTTTAGACTTTTTCCATCTTAAAATAGATAGAGATTGAATTTAAAAAAAACCCACTACTAAGTTTCCATAGGTAAAATCATAAAGGCAGGAAATGCAAAACTTAAGATTTTGATAACATTAATAAAGCTGAGTTGCAAAATATATTTGCTGTTCTTTCTCCTTATTAAATAGGTATCTGGTTATGAGCCTATTTTATTTTTCTGTTGGTAAGATGTATATTATAAAATATGCATGATGTGCTGCATGACCTACTAAACTTTGTTGATGGAATCTTAAACTTGTGATTCTTGACCAGGTTTGCCAATCCTCCAGGATTATCCTGGAGTCTCCAGGAATTAAAGATTATGTCATGTGATGAAACCTCCAGGAATTCATCTAATCTGAACTGACAGACTGATTCTTGACTGATTTTTTTTGAATGCCAGTTGTAGGACCTAATTTTCTAAGAATTCTGTGCACGTTTCCTGTTGAAGTCCCTGTAGTTCCACATATGGAGTCCTTGGAAAGTTAGATTCTTCATGTTTCATCAACTAGGGACGTTAAAACTAATCAACTAGTCGATGGAATTGCCATCAATTAATCGATTAGTCGATAAAGGCATTTCCTCTTTGAAATAAAGCAAGTGCCTGCTGGGCTATTGCTACATTTCAAAGGCAGAAGGGCCCTGCGGCGTTCCACCTTTAAAATGTACAAAAGCCCCAGCAAGGGCTCTTGTGCATTTCAAAGATTTAAATGCTACATGGAGCAGGGGGCCAGCCGGGGTCTCAGAGACCCCCGCTGGCCCCAGGCTCCATGCGGGGCTTCCGCTTTGAAGTGTACAAGAGCCCCAGTGGGGACTCTTGTACAGTTCAAAAGTCGAACGCTGCTACTGCGCCCCTGCCCCTTCCCACAGAGCTGGAGCTGGGGGAAACCGGTTTTTAAGACAGCACCCCATTCTCTCCCCCTCCCCTCCCCTCACCCCCCGCTGCCTCTTTATGATAGAGGCAGCAAAGGTGGGCGGAAGCGACTAGGAAACTATTGTGTCGACTATCCGATAAGCTTTTGCTTATCGGATAGTCGACTAGTCACTTACAGCTGTATCATCAATGGATGTACTTGGGTTTATTGTGTCCTAACTGGTGTAATTGTGTACATTAGAGATGTAAAAAGTGTTGTCTTTTGTAAAAGTATAACCACTGAAATTTCAGTGGTTACACATTTATACACAGGGGGAGGCAGCTCCGTGAGTGCCAGTTCCTAACTGCCCCCTTCCTGCACTGCTGCCTCTGTGTTCCCCAGGAGCTGGTGCTCACAGGAAGCCTGCTTAAAAGTTGACTCGCCGTGAGCACCAGCTCCCACCTGCTTTTCCCACCCCTGCACTACTGCCTTTGATACAGAGGCAGCAGTGCAGGGAGTTGTGTGTAACCATGAAGTTTAACCGACGATCCCAGGCTCTTTAGTTAACTATTTAACTATGTATTCTAACACATCCCTGGTGTACATAGTATTCATCACCCTCAAAGAACTTCATAAGCACGTACTAATCCTCACAAAGCACGTGTTTATGAAATGTGTGGTATCCTTATTTGGAAAAATAAGGAAACTTGCGTCCAGAAAGTAGAGTGACTTGCCAAGGCTTTTGAAGTAGCATGTGTCAGAGTAAGGATTATAACTCAGCTCAATACTCAGACCATAGTTAACCATGCTTTTCTACTTTTCCCAAATGTGAAATTATGTTCAAAGTGGTTTCAATGGTAATTTAAAAAAAATCTTTCTTTTTACTCTAATTTATTTCAGAATTACATCTCACCTGTGTAAAATGCCATGTTTTCTTATTTTCATTTCTTTAAGCAAAGCAAATGGTGTTTTAAATGTAACTATACTTTGCATTTGTTTTTCAGATTTGCAGCCAACATAATGCTGGAGCTCCACAGTCGAAACAAGCATTTCACAGAATGGCACAGTCAGAATTTAATTTGGATCATGAAATATCATGGTTTGTGCTTCCCTCTTATTGGGCTAAAATTATTGTTGGACTCCTTTCCTGCATGTGCTTTGCTAACAGCTACGATGGAGATTTTGTCTTTGATGACTCTGAAGCTATCCTCAATAATAAGGTTTGTGTTTATCCTGACTTCAGTTGTAGTAGAAAAATAATTAACTTAAACTGATACTACCAATTTAATTGGGCCCAAAATTAGACCCTCAGAAAATAAAAATGTGGAGTTCAATTTTTCCTTTGCCATCATCCTTTTTTAAAATTATCATCTGACTGTGCAAAGCGTTTTAACAAGTAAGCCACTATTTCTGTAAACGCTGGACAAAAGTTATACATTACTGCTTTGTTGCAAAGCAAGCAGAAAGAGCACACTAATCTAATGAATCCTTACTCCCAAAGGTTTATTGACTACTTGATTTGATGCTGGTCCACAAACAAGGAAGCAGTAATGAACAAATAGATTACTTTGCCCTGGCTTAATTCTCTTTATCCAATTGCGATCCATTGGCCAGCTCAGCACTGATGTTATCAAGGAAGAGTAGCAGCATCTATTCTGAATGAAATGTGCTTTGCTCACCTATGTACTGAGGATGAAATTGGCTAGATGTGCACAATGTTTGGGCCTGATCCTGAGGACACTTGTGTACTTTGGCGTGTGCACATGAAACTATTTACAGACGCAGTCTTATTCCCATTAAAATCACTGAAGTTAGATCCACAAAGGAAATTTAGATGCCCAGTGGAATTAATAGCACTATACTTGGCACCCAGGCTTCCCATGCATTGTATGGAGCATGTCAGGTACTTGAGGAAGAGATTCACAGACACCAACCAGTTGATGAGCAGGAAATCACCTAAAGTAGGCGATGGAAGATGCCAAGGAGAGCGGCAGGTCTTAGTCCTGTCCCTTAAAAAAGATTAGGTTTCCTAACTCAGGACTGGAGGGCGGTGCCATCCTCTGCTCAAGATTCACAGTTATGAACCCTCTCATGGAATTAGATACACAATTCTGGTCAGTCCTTGCTTATGAAAAAAACAGAGAGAGAGAGCCCTCTACCCCATTATCAGCAGTACCCTTGTGATTAGGCTATTCACTTGAGATGTGGAAGATCTGGATTCAAATTCCTGTTGCAGATCAGTAGGGATTGAAACCTGGGTCTCCCACATCTCAGATGAGTACTCGAATGACTGGGCTACTGAGTATAAGGAGATACACACGCAACTCCAAAAATCTTGACCTGCTCACCAGTGTTTCCTCTAGCATGTTCTATCCAGAGGGTGGGAGGAAATGAGGGGTTGAATTTTCTTTTGGTTGGGTTGAAATTTCTTATATCAATATTGAGAGTATGTGTGGATGTGCATCACCAATAGAAACAAAAAACATATATAACTTTAAACAGTGTGGGGAAAAATATATTAAAACAAAGGATTGTTAACATGGAGCAATGCTTACAATGTTTAATATGAAATCAAATAAAAAAGAAAATGAACACTACCCTTGCAGTACATGTATTATCATCCTTTCTAACAACTCAAGCTAGTAAATACACCAAAATGTATATTATCCACACATAGCTCAGCTTTAAGATGATAAACTAATTTATGAGTCAGCTAGAAATAGTCATGCTCTCCTTGCAAATATTAATACAATATTTATTGACACTGGAAAGGAGGGTAAAAGGTATTCAGTCAGGCTTATGCGGTTTCTCTGGGGAATGTTTAGGATCCATGCTATACATGGGATTCATGCTATACAAGAACAAGTGAAAGAGGCCCGTAAAAACAGATACAAGTTCTGGTTTGACACTTTCACCTTGTGTGTGTCACCAACTCAGATTAGAAACCCTACTGCAAATTAATACATGGCTTCAGGGTTCATAGACAGATCCATGTTTCAAAGAGCTTGCAAAGAAGGTTTCATCCTACTAGAAAACTAGCATCACACCTAATACTTCTTTCTTCTAACTTGTATGAGCCAGAACTCTACCATATAAGAAAGATCTGGTCTTAATGCAATACAATTTACCGTGTTTTAATTAGGATAAAAAAATTAAGATCAGAGTTTTAGATATCTGCAACACTCCAAAAAAAATCTGTTGTTAATCTTTCTCTCTTACTTTGTACTATTAACACCTATGTAATCTTTGTTTGTAATTATGCAAATATCTGGGGATGGACGGACGGACGGGCGCGCACGCACGCACACACATACACACACACACACACACGCCTGCTTTCCCACCATCCCTCCAGCCCAACCAGAGAAAAGTGCTATCTGGATTACAGCAAGCGAGTCAGGAGGCCACCCCAAACAAGCTGCCTCTCCTCCGCCTCCACCTCACTGCACAGATGCCAGCACCCACCCACTCCCTTCCCTCCATTTACTCCTGTGCAATCTGTTCTCCCCAGCTGAGCTGGGGGCTGGGATAAAATCCTGCTTCTCAGACATGCAGGCACCAGCAGTCTAGCTGGGAGTTTGGACAGGACACAGCTCAAACTCAGTCTCCACCCTTCCCCCAGCTCACTCCAGGACACAATCACAAACTCTCTCCTGCCTCCACCTCACCCCAAAGCCAGCACCCACCCATTCCTCCTTTTCCCCACCAACTCCCTGCAGTCAGCTGCACCCCACCCCGCTTCCCAGCTCAGGATGCTCGAGGACAGTGCTGGGTTTCTGCCTCTCTCTTCTCCCCTAGTGCAGACCAGACTTTCCAAACTCCCCTCTGACTCCTCCCAGCCAATTACTTCCTCTTTCTCCCAAAGGTCCCTACTCTGCAACTCTCCTCCCAGCTGCTTATTCCCTTCTTCCCACCTCCTTATCTCTCCTCCCTGCTGCTCTTTAAGCTCCTCTGTCAGAAGCAAGCAGCTCCTCCCCCAGCTGAGTTCTCTGCCTGCACTGGAACCATGAGTGGGGCTCAATAAATGGTCACTCAGCTAACAAGGAACTTAGCTGCTCTCCCCCAGCTGTCCTTTTTAGTCATACCAGATCTGCGAGATGTGCTCTGAGCAGGCCTATTGGATTGGTCCTCAGAAATGAGTTAGGTAGGGGAATACCTAGTCTGAGGATTCTACCAGGGTTTAGGCATGCCATATGAGGAGGGATTACAAAGTCTGGGACATTTTAGCTTAGAAAAGGGGGGGGGGGATATGATAGAGCTCTATAAAATCACAACTGGTGTGTGGAGAAAGTGAATAAGGAAAAGTTATGTACTTGTTCCCATAACATAAGAACTAGGGGATCACCAAATGAAATTAATAGGTAGTTTGTTTAAAACAAACAAAAGGAAGTACTATCTCATGCAACACACAATCAACCTGTGGAACTCCTTGCCAGAAGATGTAGTGAAGGCCAGGACTTTACCATAGGGGTGTATGCGAGTAGTTGACTACCCAATAAGCCTATGCTTATTGGGTAATCAAGGTGACTACTTGCATTCTCCCTCTCCCCCGCCTCCAGGACTGCTGGACCTGATGCAAACTGTGACCGAGCAAGCCTGGCTCAGTCCTGGCTCGGGTACAGGAGCTACCCCGCCTGGCTCTCACTACATTTAAACTACAGAGCTACAGCGGGGGGGGGGCTTGTCATCTAAATTCCATCGACTACACTATTAGCTATTTACTCACTTCCTAACATCCTTACTTTAACAGACTTCAAAAAAAGAGCTAGATAAATTCATGGAGGATAGGTCCCATCCTAGCTATTAGCCAGGATGCGTAGGAATGGTGTCCCTAGCCTCTGTTTGTCAGAGGCTGGGAATGCGTGACAGGGCAGGGATCACTTGATGATTACCTGTTCCGTTCATTCCCTTTGCGGCATCTGGCATTGGCCACTGTTGGCAGACAGGATACTGGGATGGATAGACCTTTGGTCTGACACAGTATGGCTGTTCTTATGTTCATAAACAAGGGGACTGAGCAGCTCAGCATCATCAGTATTGAGGCGTTTTGTGGATATGCAATAGCAAAAATTGAGGTGCCTAAAGGGCTAGGGCTCTTAAGGAATTTCAGCACCTCCAGGGTTAGGCAGCAGATGAGTGGAGTTTCTGAGAATCTCAGAGGTAACAACAATGGTGAACTTAAGCACTCAAACTGGTAATTAAACACATAAATCCCTTTGTGGATCAAGTCCTGTGAGTTTTACCATAGGCTTCGGTGATTCAGATTATGGTCCTGAAGGCAGTGGAAGGCTTTCCATTGACTCCCATGGGTGACCAAGTGGATAAGGTTACTCTTGTGCAGAAGACTTTGCAGGATTGCCTGATGGTGAGTTTCACTCAGCAAGCATTCCCAAGGGTTTTCATAAGGTAAACCCCAGCTTAAGGGAGGGAGTGTGTTTCATGTTCCCTTGTAACATTCCTGTGGTAACAGCAACAGTTGATTGAATAGAAAACAATATAAAGGACATATTTGCTTTTTTTAAAAAAAAATCCCACCGTTTTTAATGTAGTAAGAATCTTGTATTTTTAAAAAAGCTGTTTGGCCAATGACTGTTTACATTCCTTAGCCAATTTTCAAGCTACATGATTTTAAAACTGTGGTCTCCAAAACACTAGCCACGTTTGGCTATTTGGCTGGTTGAGAGTGGCTGGTTTGCTATAGCAGTAGCCATTGTAGTGGCTACTGCTTCAGAACTGATTGGATACCTTAAAGTATAAAATCTTATTATAGACAGTTTAAGGTGTGGTCCTACAAGATACTGTGTTCTCAGTTCCAGAGATGCCTCCCAAGGGGACCATGTAACAACTTGTGAGAATGGGCTGTTCAGTGGAGCCTGACCTTAGTCTAGTGAACCTAGTCTCATCTAGGAGGTTAGGTCTAGACTACAAATTTTTGTGGGAAAAAGCTACACAAAATGCACTCCGCATTTTGAGTAGCTTTTTCTGATTCTTTTGTCGGAAGAAGCTTTTCCGACACTTGGCCTGCCTACACTGGGCCAAAAGTCAGGAAAAAAAAACCCTCTTTCAGAAGCCCCCTTCTTCCTTGTGGAAGGAGGAATACAGGGGCTTCTGAAAGAGCGCGTTTGCACTTCTGCAAAAAAAAAAAAAGCAGAAGTGCAAACGCATTCCCTGGACACAGTGTGGTTTTTTCAGGAAAAAACCCTGCAGTATAGACATAGCTGGAAATAAGAGTGGTAGAGGTGGTAAGAGAGGTACATAAAGCAAAAAGAAAAGGAATTGATACAGAAAGTCTCTCTCCCCATATGCTCTTGACACCAAAAGAATGAAGAGAAGAATACCGTAGTGGTGGCCCTAAAGCCTTCTGGAAAAAAATATGCTCTGTGTTTTGAAAAAAACATGGTTGATTATAAAAATAGTCTACCACAGTTTGCATTTCAGCATCCTACTAAATTATCATTGCTCAAGTAATTTGTAGTGTGTTTGTCAGCCATACCCTAAGCTAGAAAAATGTAAATACATACCATACATTCTGTAATCTTTGTATCTGTAAAATGACATACTTCTGGGAAAATATGGTTCTGCAAAGTTTTAACTGGGGGATAATCATGCAGTTTCATTTTCTTAAAAAAACTGACATTTAAACCAAGGTAATGGTGTGTGTAGTTGTTTCAATCCAGTTTGTACACTTGTAATCTTCCTCCCCAAACGTCTTTCCACATTTACCTGACAAACTGAAACAATAACATTTATCAGCACACACAAATGTAAATAAAGCTGTTCTAAGATTCTGGCAGCAGGCAAGGAGAAGAAACTAAATCTATTGGTTAAACAACCTCATTTTTATTTATGCAGCCCACCCTTGAAAAATATGGCAGTTTAATTTATTTCCTGATCTAAATCTTGGCACATTTCTTTAGAAACTGAACCGGATTTTGTTGACACTAGAAGATTTTAATAAAGAGGTTAGAGAAACATGTAGAATATTAAATCAGTACTAAAAATGTAGAGATGAGTGGTTATGAATTGGTGAGGAGGGAAAGTAGCTTAATAAATGCCAGTTTTATTTTACAAAATACTACATGGTATATTTTATTTTCATTCTGTGTGAAATACAGAATAAAGCTTTCTATAGATTTGATTAGCCTTGCTTTGCCAGTGTTTTCTTAGGTACCACTGTATGACCCTTTTGTTAACTTGCTAGCCCTCCCCACCATACTTTCCTGTTTTAATGAAAGATATATTGTTAGTTGGCCCCACGCCTACCATGTTGTGGTTCATTAAATTATTGGCTTTTATTGGTGTTCAGGGTTGTTTTCCAGATGCTTCCTTGTAATTTAAAACCATATTTTTAGTGGTGCACAGCAATGGTTTGTCTTTATTTTTTTGGCAAAGCAAACTTAGATTAGCAGGAATTTCTAGTATAGTATTGAAAAGTATCTTTTCCATGTGCTGCTATATAGAAGAATTGACCTTTTCAAGTACAGCACCCTGCTATGCATAGGCTACTTCTAATCAAATATTTAGGGATTTCTGGGTATTCACTTTCTGTTGTAGTGGAGAAAATCATGAATAACTTTTCCAATAGATGCGAATTTCTTACACTTAAGAAAAAGCAAACAGTTATGTTTCAAGTATAATCCCATGAAGGTGAATAAACTATTTTACATAACTTTCTCCAAACTTCCAGCGTTCAATGGGCCAGTTTGTTGTACCAAATAAAAGCAAGCAGGATCTTATGAGGGGGATAAGGCAAAAAGCCACATTTATTGTAAAGATAATAATAAAAAAAATAAAGAAAAGATAGAAGCAAACAACGTTGTTTAACTACTTAACCCTTATACATATAAACATTCATTCATCCATTCATTCAGGTTCTGTGTATTGTTATAGTTACCAGCCTGGAAGTTGCTTGTGACAGAATACTGGCCAGGTATTCTGTACACAAGTGATGGTAGTGGGGAGCGAAGTCCTGATCAGATGCGCATCTGAAGCTCCTGGTGGGCTGGCAGCAGAACCTTGGACTCTGATTCCATAGTTTTTTAGTCCAGTTCTTATAGGAATTTCTTCCCATGCCAGTCTATGGAAATTGCTGCATCATGCTGATGTCTCCAGGGTGGCTGCCAGGTGCTCGTCAGTGATCTCATTCGGTGGACCTCCAGTACTTGGTTTTCTCCACTTAACACCTTTTGGTTGCACTGGCACCTGACGCCTTCTTCAGCCCTTTGTTGCTGTATTCTCAGGCTGGCACCTCTCAGAACCATTCATTCATCATCCAAGCACTCTCTCTCTCTTACATACATTCCTAAATTAATGTTTCCCATACAATATTTTTGTATAATAATAACTTTACATATATCAGAGTTGTAGTTACCAAAAGTTTCTGGGTGGTATTGCTTAAAACATTCTCTGAGTGCTGAGTAAAGTTACAATGTTTTAAAGAGAACAGGGGTCAATTATGTAACAATGCCCTTAGTCAATTACAGGGCTTGGCTCCCATAGCAGAGTTAGTGGATTGACAATGCATTGTTACAATGTATCTCTGCAATGTCAATTTCAAGCAGCCCCTTGCACAAGCTTGAGCATGCCCTGGGGCACAGAGGGGGGGCTGTTTCTGGCTACATAGGATTATATTCTTAATAGTTCTAAGTTACATGACCTAATACATTATATTCTAAAGGGGCAGTAATAATAATAAATCTAAACATTTAACAATCTTAACAAATAATAATAAGAAGAAGAATTAATAAATCTAAACACTTTAAGTTGTGGGGAACAAATTATGGGGAGTCACTTCCATTTGGAGGAATCATTTTCAATACATTAATATGTTATCCCTACAAGTTCAGCATTTCTGAGGTCTGGAGAATTCAGGTCGTAAGTAAGTGAAATCCAATCACAAGATATTCCTGGATATTTTGCTTTGCCTGCTTGTGATCAACTCAAGACAAAAAATAAACTTGGATTAAATTGTGCAAAGTGTTTCCTAGTTGCAGCATTTAGAGACTATGTAAAACTGATAGTTTGCATTTTTATGAACATAGTGCTGATGTTGAGTACTATTTTCAATGTTGGTTAAAAATCTGCTAGCACAGCACAAATATATTTTTGTACCTCTTGTCATAAAAGAGATGCTATTCAAGTGTAGAGTAAGTAGTATATAGGGCAGTGGTCACCAACCAGTAGATCAGGATCTACCAATAGATCTTGGACCCTCTGACAGGTGATCGTGATTGGTTTGTCTGGCTCTTCAGCTGCCCCTTTCCCTGCTGCCCTACTGCTCCTTCCCAGAGCGTCTCCCTGGGAGCCACCTGCTTGTTGTGCAGGGTGGGGGAGACAGAGGCAGGGGGCGCTGATGTCACTTTGTCCCTCTCTTCTATCCTATCTTCACAAAGTGAGGAAGGCGGGGCCTTGGCGAAGGGGTGGGTTGGGCACGGCCTTGGAGGAAGGGGCGAGGCAGAGGTATTTGTGTTTGAGGTAGATCTTGGACTGACTTAAATTCAAAAAGTGATCTGTGCTTAAAAAGATTGGAGACCACCGATACAGGGGAACTTGCTTATAGGCTTGATATGTCAGAAACAAAGAGTACTAGTTGAATGGTGTCATGTGAAAGGCAAGGAAGCCACCCAACAAGATTTTAAAAAGAGCTAATCAATGGTTGTCCTCTTTAATCTTTTGCTTTACATCTTTCTTGCTCACATTAATTGTTTTTTACTGGTGCTAGTAGAAAAAATGGTAGTTTGCAACAACTTGTGCTGTTCCTATTTCCAAAGATCCTAGCTCTAAAATAATATATATATTTATTTTTTTTTACAATATTTTCCATTAAATCTATTGGGGTAGAACATCAGTTGATGGAAATCAGCATAGCTCCATTTGAAATTCATGAAACTATGCTGACTTATGGTAGCTGAGGATCTAGTCCACCATAATTAAAGGAATACAAGAGGGTATTGAAAAGGCTGGGAACTATTCCAAACACTAAAACGCTTAATAGAAAATGTCTATAAAGTATGGTCATGCTGGTGCTGGTCTGTCTTGTATGTAACTGTTCTCAATCCAATTGATTTATCTAAACTGAAATGTTAACAGTGTTGATGCTAAACATATATTCTTCCAGGACCTCCGGGCAGAAACTCCACTTGGTGACCTGTGGCATCATGACTTCTGGGGTGGCAAACTCAGCAGCAATACCAGCCACAAATCATATCGACCACTTACGGTCCTAACTTTCAGGTGAGACCTAGTGTCATGCCATAGTACTGGACTCAGTCGTTTATTTTGTTAACTGACTTTTGGTTTTGTTTTGGAAAGTAAGAGACTTTGAGGGAAGTGAAATTTCTACTACAACTAATTTGCAGTACAGGGTGGCCCTGCTATAGGTCACCCCGGTCTACATCGGTTCTGCTCTAAAGTCCTTGTAGGAACTGATGCGCTATAAGTCCTCCCATTCCCCGCTCTTAAGTCACACACAGAAAAAAGCCCCAGTTTGCACAAATGGAAGTCACCTGTCAGAAAAAAATGTGGTGCTTTAAGTTGTTTCACTATAAGTCCTAGTTTTTTGGAATGTATCTTGGACTTATAGTGAGGATGACCTGTAAAACTACTACCTTGCTTAATTCCCAAGACCTGATCCTGCAATAAGCTCCATGCAGATGAACTCCTATGTCCCACAGTGTGTAGCAGTTCAGAATCAAAGTGTGAAATTCACCCTTATGCAGAGGGGCAGCACAATGGACTTTCTTGATACATAGACCTTTTATTAAGGGTGTTAAATTGTGGTTAGCTGGCTAATCGTGTAGTCGATACAGTTTATATTGACTACATGATTAGTTGCTGAGGACTGCTCTGCTGAGTCTCAGTGGGGGTAGCTCCAGGAGCCGGCTTGAAGTAAGTTCCTTCAGCCTTTTCATGGAGCTGCTTACTGCAGGCTGTGAGCCTTGTCAGCCACTCCTCCCAATGTATAAGGTGGGCAGATCCAGACTTCTTCACACCCATTTGTTCTCAGTAGGTGGTATTGGACAGTTACTCCCCTTTTTCAGTTTGACACCAACTCTAATGGTGAGATCAGAGGTAGTGTGCAACCTTGACACCTTTTCCTCCTTGCATGATTGAGGAAGGGCTGTGACTATCTTAGGGATGTATAAAACAAGTACAAATGTAACCGTGTATACTGTATAGGGATGTTAGCAACTAGTTGCTTCCCCCACCCTTGCTGCCTCTATCAGAGAGAGGCAGCGAGGGTGGGGAGCAGAAGTTGGTGCTGTGGGGAGCCAGCTTAAAAGTCAGTTCCCCCCAGCATCGTTTCCAGAGGAGGCAGAGGTTAGTGGAGACCAGGCGCTGCACATCTGCTTTTTAAATGAATTTAGAGCCTGCCAGCTCTTAATACATTTAAAAAGCTGATGCGTAGCGAAGGGTGCGCAAGCCAGAAATCAGATGTCTAGGCTCGCACCAGGTCCCTCCTGCTGTGCTTCAGCCTTTATTCAGCCTGTTTTTAGCCTGCCGGCTCTTAATGCATTTAAAAGGCAGAGCTACAGCAGGGTTAGCTCCTGGGGCCGGGAGCTAACCCCGCTGCGGCCTCCCCGCTTATTGACTAATCGACTAGTTGATGGAAATTCCATCGACTAGTCAGTTCGTTGATTAAATTAAAGTTAACATTCCTAACCATGTAACAGTTAAAAAACTGAGCGTATGCTGCAGAGCCTGCAGTGCAGCTGGCTTGCCCGCATCTGGGAGCAGCTTGCACTGCACGACACATTCCAGCTGCTAGCCCTGCTCCCGGGGAGCTGGCTGCGCTGTGGGCTCCACAGTATACGCTTTATACTACAGAGCCTGCAGCATGGGCAGCAGCTGGCTCCCTGGGAGCAGGGCTGGGAGCCAGTGTGTAACTGTAACAGAAACCGATAAGCTTAATCATTTAAATGGTTACACGCTTACATCCTTAGACCATCTGTGACAATGTATTTATATGCTTAATACAGTGTGGCCTAGATTCAGTTTGGGCTTCTAGGCACCGCAGTTATAAATAATGTAAATGCCTAATATAGGCTTCCGTATATTGCATAGATCCTGTTATAAAATGATTCTTTTCCTCTTCAGGCCTCTAAGACTCATTCTAACTCCAGTAACGCCCTGGCTAATTTAAACAGAAAATATATATACATATGTTAAAAAACATGACACAATAGAGGAGCACATGTAGGTGGCCAGTGAAAAGGTATTTCTTCAAGTAACAAATTGGCCTTCCCGAACTCCCTTAAGACTTTGCTTTTATGTGTATTGTGCATTTATAACAGGTTAGATCATCACAATGGACTCCACTTGAGCCAGATGCATGTTGGCTAGACACACTGGATGAAATCCATTATCTGTATTTAGTTTCTGTAAGTTTTTAACATAATGCTTATATTGTACAGAAAATTGTGGTACAACCCTCCGCCCCGTTCAGCTTTCCTTCCTAGTATAAACTCCTACACAGAATAGTCATCCAAATAACCCGACCACTACCAATTCCCTCTTCACATACTTCTTCAACCTGCCTTCTTTAACTCTTTCCATGCACACCCATTAGGTGTCCCCGAAATAATGCTGTTTCCGCCTATGCCCATTTGATGATGATAATTTGTTGTGCCTTTTCATTGTGCAAAATCCCAAAGCACATCATGTAACTGTATGTGTAGAACACCACTGGTGTGGAGAATGAAAGCCCAGCAACGAGAGGGCCATACACAGTGTGGGGGGAAAAAACTGGGTCAAGAATGTTGTGGAACCCTTTTACTTTTTTACTGAAAGTGTCCTAGGATCTTTCATGCCCTGAATGTCAGTTAGGAGTGAGTGGTGTAGATTTAAAAAAAGAATACATTTTTTAAGGATTTACCTGAAAGAACACTCTGTTACACCATCCTTCCTGCTTGCACTTCCAGGAATGTGCATATGCACACACTACCTCTGAAGTTCGCCTGTGCCCTCCATAAGGTTGGGCTGCTTTTCTGCAGGACTCTCCAACCTCCTAATTTTTACACAGGGTGGTATCCCAGAGCATTAGGACATGCAACTTTACAGTTATGCACTGATAAATAGCCACACTTGCTGTTTTTCCTAGGTGGTGTCTTGTAAAGGTAGTGGTGGTGCATTAATGGGTGACTGACTGCTACAAATTGGGACTGGTGAAAGGATCTGGGTGTTGTTAAATAGGGAAATCCTCTGAGAGGATCTGGGCCTTGTGACTGGGGGCTTGTGGGGATAATAGAACAATGGTAAGATGCACGTGTTAGATAGTATTTTAAAATGTACTTTTCATAGTAAGCTTCTCATATAAAGGTTGTTTCTCTAAAGGGTGTTTAGTTTTTCTTTGTGTATCTTCACGCTCTCCTCTGACTCTTAATCTCAATGTTTTTGTTTTTATGTAGAATTAATTACCTTTTTGCTGGAGGCTTTCACCCGGTGGGCTTTCATGTCCTCAATATAATACTGCATTGTGCTATTTCTGTGTTAATGGTTGATGTCTTCTCGATATTATTGGGTGGGCTACAATACAACAGTAAAGGAAGAAGGCTAAATCTTGCTCCAAAAGCATCTCTTCTAGCTGCTTCACTGTTTGCTGTGCATCCAGTGCATACTGAATGTGTAAGTACCTAATAGATCTCTGTATAACGTTTTATATCTCCAAAGTTTCTGATCAACACTAATTAATCACGCGTAATAATATGGTTAATATGTTCATAAGTTAGTGATTCTACAGGGCAAGTTGTTATTTAGGGCAGTAAAAGTAAATGATCTAAATACAGTAGATTATAAATGCTCTATTGTTTCAGGCCATCCATCTTTAATTAGTGGCTGAAGAGCACATTGCTGGACATGAGTAGCAGAGGAGAGAGGCATGAATAAACTGCATGCAAGTGCTTAATCACTGCTAATTCCTTTTTGCCTTATGTATATAAACTGGAATCTCAATTAGGAGCAGGGAGATTATATTGCCTCTCTGTTTGGCGCTGGTGCAGCATTGCAGGAACATAGAGGCTGGTTCTGGTGTTTGCAGTTTGAAAAAGGTGTTGATAAATTGGAGAGGGTTCAGAAAGAGAGCCATGATAGTTACCGAAGACATGGAAAACATGCCACATAGTGATAGACTCAAGGAACACAATCTGTTATCTTCACAAAGAGAAGGTTAAGGGGCTGACTTGATTAGTCTGAAGTAAGAATACAAAACAAAAATTTGGTAATAGACTCTTTAATGTAGCAGAAAAGGGAGTAACAAGGTCTAGTGGCTAGAAATTGAAGCTGGATAAATTCAGACTGAACTAAGGTGCACATTTTCAACAGTGAGGATAAATTGGAGCAGTTTATCAAAAATTGTGTTGGATTCTCCATCAATGGAAATATCTTAATTTAAAACTAGATGTTTCTCTAAAAGATAGGCTATAAGTTCAATGGTAGTTATTGAATTTAAGCAGGTATAAATTCAAGGAAGTCCTATGATTTGTGTTACACAAGTGGTCAGATTAAATAGTCACAGATGGTACCTTCTGACCTTAAAATCTTTGAATATGCATAATCTAACAGGAGTCATTTTAACTGCTTCTACTTTGTAAATTACTAAAGAGTTTTAATTCTAATTTTCAGCCTCTGCCCTAGAAGTAAGTGATCTTAAATTTGGTACAACATTTATTTTCCATACATAGCAAAAGGATTTATTCCACCTCTTTGAATCAGATCCTTGGCCCTGCTCCATCACTTTTGCACCATGGTGATGGTGAAACAGAGAGAGGCAGCTGTACTAAACAACTTGCTGGGGAATTGCCTTTAGGTAGTAGAATCCTTGGGTGCAGAGCTCTACATCAGGTTTTCCTGTCCCCCACCCTTAGAAGGGGTGTGTGACCAGAACATTCTGCATTTCAGCAGTCTAGAGAATCTAGAAAACAGTGGCTATCAGTATAAAGTTATTATGCTGGGAGTGAAAACTGTTCCTGGCTGCTCTTAAGACCAGATGGAAAGTGCAGCTTCTATGCTCCTGGGAATATAAAGTGAAATTTCAGTGCAACCTGAATGATAAAGTTGCTGCTACCTACCTCTTGAGAATACAGACTATTTATTTTGCTTCTCCTGCTGTGATTCTGCAAATCACATATTTGTTTAAATTGGGCTCTAAATGTTACTCAGGCCCCAATTCTGCAAGCTAATCTGCATGTGTGCAGGGGGTCTGTTTGTATGAGCTTGCAGGATTTGGCACTAAAAGCATATCATTTGTTTGTTTCGGAAAGAAGAACCTAACCTGCTGAAAATAAACACGCTTTTCTAAGGTCAGATGATGCACAGCTGTACTTAATCTGTTAAACAATGAATTGTAAGTCTTTTACTGTAATAGTCAAGGCATTATGTGCTTCTAGCACATACACGTGTATTTCTAACCATTCAAACAGCACCTCCCATGATGCTGAAAAAATCAATTGCCTTGAAATTATGACAACCCATCTCTAAAATTAGATGGCATGTTTTGACATCTGATAACTGTGAAGAATGTCAGTTTCCTGTTTTGATTTTTGTTATGTATAAACACAAGGAAACTAAAAGGTTTCATATATAAAATGGATATTTTAGTCTTGGTAGAATTTAAATATAAAATTTGTTATGTCAGTGTGATTTTTCTAAATAGCAGGTAAGAACTACTGCTGTATAGTTATGTCTTTTACAAAATAAAAGTGTGTGTTCTTCCTGTTAACATTTGAGTAGTAAAATATTGCCTGTGAGGTGGAACTTTGATAGCTAGTTTGATCTTAAGACACAGTTTTAATTTTACCTTGAGAACTGAGGGCCTGATCCTGCACCATTGTCTCACCCAAATAGTGCTGTTGAAGTCAGAGACAACAAGTAATACAGGGCCCTTTGCTTTAATATATTGTCAGAAAAGCGCAGGCTTGCTCCAGAGTCTACATTTCACTCTGAAACCCATACCTTGCCCAACAGAAGACTAGCGGAGGAGGAATTCTCTTTCCACTCCCGAAAAAAATGGCAGAGCAGCAGCATAGCCTGAGCAGTCTCTGTAGTCCTTGAGTCCCCTCCCTAATTGGGGTAAGAGGAGGATGACAACAGGTGGGTCCAATCCTATTTTCAATGTGCCTTTGTGAATAGCTGCTCCAAGAGCACTAGCAAAGGTGTGCTCTAACACTCTAAAGGCTTAAGCCAAACCCACTGAAGTTCCTGGAAGGGCTTCAGGGATTTGGATCTGGATCTGGATCTTTAGGTACAGACCCACTGTGTGGGTTATCCACATGTAACTGCTTCAGATTATATAAAGAAGTCTGTGTAGAGAATGGGGGAAGATCATTAGGTTGTCCTCCACTCTCTGCCTTTGGCTGTAGTAAGTGGAGTCCAGCTTATTCTTTAAAGCATGAACAATTGGCTCGCTTGGCTTATAGCAGTGTTCCTGCTAACAGGCAGCTCCGCTTTGTTTATCTCAGCGGTTCCCAACCTTTTCCAGATGGAGACCCATTTTGACAGTTTAGGAAGACTTGGTGACCTAAGGCAATTCAAAAATGGGGGGAGGAGAGGAGGCAGAGCCACCTGGGGAGATACTTGGTAACACTTTTGAAATGTAATGGTGACCCATATTTGGGTCCTGACCCATAGGTTGGGAAACCCTGGTTCATCTAAAGCAGGGGTGGGCAAGAGGCGGCTAGCGGGCTGGATCCGGCCCACGGCTGCCTTGCCAACACGCTCGCTACAGAACGGGCAGCCGGTTTAAACAGCAGGCTGTTAATTGCGCTGCACTCTGCGCAGGGAGGAGAAAGCTTTATGCATTGTTCCTATGCCTTAGCAAAATCCTCAAGCTCCCATTGGTCAATAGGAGCTGAGAAATTTTGCTGAAGGCAGGGGCAGTGAAAGAAGCCTCCTCATTCCCCCCCTCCCCTTACTTCCTCCCTCCCTGTGCTGGAGCAGAGCCTCATGGAGCAGGTCACCTAGCACACAGGCAGGGAGTTTGCAGAGTTGCTGACTGGGAGCTGGCTAGGTAAGTGCCTCCCAGCCAGAGCCTGCCTCTGGCACCCCACCCCTTCTCTCCCCCAACTACCTGCCTCAGACCACCACCCGCATCCTCTGTATCCCCTCTCCCCACCTTCTCCAGGTCACTACTCCCTCCCAGACCCTGCACCCCCTGCTGCCCCCCTCCCCCAGGTCAGAATTCTTTCCTGTACCCATAACCTTTCCTTCACCCTTCACCCCATTCCCCACTCCACATCACCACCCAAGCCCCCTTTTGCACCCTACTCCCAAATCACAACTCCCTCCCAGACCCTGTACCCCCTCCTGCACCCCTCCCCCAGGCCAGAATCCTCTCCTGCACCCATAACCCCTCCTGGACCCTTCACCCCAAGCCCTTATCCCAGATCATAACTCCATCCTTCATCCAAACTCCCTCTCAGACCCCACAGTCCCTCCTACATCCCAGTCCTCTATCCCAAGCTCCCTTCTACTTCCCACCTGTCGTCCCAGACCCCACGCCCCCTCCACAGAAGTGTGGCCCTTGACCACTTACAAAAATCTTGGCGTGGTCCCTCATTATAAATTATTGCCCACCCCGATCTAAAGGCTCCGCAGCCACTGAGCCTCATGGTTTAGTTAGCCGTTCCCAGCCAAGAGGGGTGTGGGAAGCCGTGGCTTAGGCCACAGTGCTTCCCATGGCTCTCCTTGGCTGGAAATGGTGAACTGGAGCTAGATAAACAAAGCGGCCTGCGGCCCACTTTGAGAAACACTGGTTTATAGGTTAAAGCTGTCTTTACAGCACATGAAATGTACTCTTCTGAAGTGTAAAATTCTTCTTTCAATTTCCAGTTTGAGGTGCCACAGCTGCACGTTTGCTAGTGCCCAAAAGTTGTCTCCAAGAATTATACACATTTATGGCCTGGTCCATGGCAGACTTTTCATTTACTTGAATAGGCTTTGGATCATGCCCACAATCCTCTCTCTTTTTTTTTAATTAGTAAATTTTCTGGGGGTAAAAGCGAAACCATCCACTGACTTCTTGTTGTCAAACAAATGTTCCGCCAAAATCAGGGAAAATGTCTCTGGTCTTACAACATTTATTAAAACAGTTCACAGAAATGGAAAAAGTGACAGTGATTATGTTCATTTTATATTTTCAATCAATTATACTTGTATATTTTCTCATGTTTTCTTTAATAAATACTTTTGATAAAATGGATTTACTTTGTTTTTATTTTCTTTTTCTTTTTTCCAAGGTTTCAGGGATTGTTGGCAGAGCAGACCTGTTGTGTGCCCTGTTCTTTTTGTTGTCTTTCCTTGGCTACTGTAAAGCCTTTAGAGAAAGTAAGCATTATGTTTGCCTCTTTTGTGTAATTTATTTTTTTCACAGTCTCTGTAAATTACAGTAAACTAAACTATCAGCTTGTCATGAGCAATTTTTACTGCTCAAATTATCAGGAAATACAGAAGATCTGTTTTTAACAGGTGCATGTCACTAGAGGGGAAAAAAAACCTTTATACCTGTCTTCTGTTCTAAATTAGACACACATTTTACGTAAAAGATATGTTCTGTTACATGGTGTTTTTTTAATGAACATAAAGGCATAGATATATTTCATGGTACAGAATGACAGACTAACTTTCCTTTTTAATGTTTTTGATATGCCTGTCAACATTATATAGAAATGAATTTTATAAGTCTGACTTGTATTTTAATTTACATTCAAGTCCTGCTTATTTAATTTCCATGATTAGTCCCTCTGAATTCAGTAGAAGTGCTTGTGCATTTACCCCATAATTTACCTTCCAGTTAAATAATGTTCAGAGTTCTGAGTGTTCCATTTGGGAGAAAAAGTTGATGTCTGTTTTTCTATGCAGCCTTGGTACATGCCTTGTAAATAAACAAATCCTGCTTCTCCAAATGCAGGAGGAGCCAAAGGCAGAAAAAGTTTGTTTACAGGCCCAGAATTGTCTGTCAGCACTCTCACCAAGAATATTACTTCTCTGAGGGGGTTATACTATGTGTACAAACTCAGATTTCTTCAGATGCTCATGCGCTCTTGCTCTCTCTCTGGTCTTATATTTTCTCTCATACATGCTTTCCCCTTATGCAAAATAATACTCAGCAAAACCCCCTGTGCGCTCTCAATCCTAAATTCCTGGGCAGGTTCATATAACCCATTTTTCTTAAGTGCAGATCTGTGATATAATGCATCATTACACTTATTGTTTGAAGGGTAGATTTGTACCAATCAATCTCAAGGAAATTTTAACTTAGAACAAGGTTTCCACCAGCTCGTAATCTGTTTAAGGTGTACGGAATTTGGCCCATAGGCTTTAGTTCACTGTAACTATATTTAATATGCATAGTCCTTTCAGACAGAGATGCTCTTCCAAATGTGTGGTATGGTATTTGATCTGAAAGTTACTTGGCAGTACAGATACTTTGGGGTCCTATTTACCTGAAGTTTATAGAAGAATATATGAATGTATGATTATGAAGTTATACATCTGTACAGAGTATTGCAAATTTGGCGTTAGCATCTTAATGAGCTTCTGCCAAAAATTTGGATGGGGTTAAGGCCTATTTACTGGCTGTGTGAGTTCTGGGGTAGAAGAACTTTGTTATATTACTTCTCTAAGATATGACACCCTACTGGCTACTTAAATTATTTTTAATGTCAGTGTTCACGTCTAAATTTTTGTGTAGCTTGTGACTATGCCAACTAAACTGTGTTTCATCAGAAAACTCTCATCAGAGGATGCGGACCTCTGCTTGCCGGGATGTGGTCCCCGAGGCTCAAGGCACCCCCAGCTTTGGGGAGTCCATGCTGGCACTCCAGCCCCCCTGCAACCCAACTGCGGGGCAGGAGCACCCAAAATCTACTAGGCTGGGCCACCCTAGGCTCTAATGTGCGAGGGGAATGTGGGAAAGGGCTAAGTCAGTGAGGGGTTTTTTTGTTTTTGTTTTTCTTCTCTCTTGTGTGCAGCCTCCAACTGATTTTTCTGTGGATCAGTGGCCCCGACCCAAAAAAAGTTCCCCACACCTGTTCTACACTATCATTCTCACAAGAGTGAGCCAGACACCATCTTGTATTTTCTGTCTTCTAATTTCTCTGCATGTGGGTCAGGAAAAGTCATTGGAGGTTTTAAGAACAAGTTAGACAATCACCATCATGGATTTCTCGGTGTACTTAATTCTGCCTCTGTGGGCAGGATTGGAGTAGATGACCTCTTGAGGAATTAGTTTAATTTATTCCTTATGCTATGTTTATTCCTTATGCTATGTTTCCCTGCTCTGTACTAAATCAAATAAATTAAAGGCAACTTTGTGCATGCAATGACTCTCTGTGAGACCTGTTGATGCTGGTAGATATGTGGCAGAGGTAAACATCACTTGGAGGCCACAGGAACAAGAAATTAGCATGACTTTTACAGACTTTAAAATAAAAATATTCCTTCAGTAAGACTGAAAATTATTGAAAAGAATGTTTAGATTCTGATCATACATATTCTGACTGTGCAATACAAAAAGACTAGACAGGTTGTTTTAAGGAGCCTTAGTTACATTTTTAGCCATATTGTGCAGAAATCTGGTGGAACTCTTCATTGTGTAGAGGGGATAAAGAGTACTGCTTGGGTAGTCTTTTGGAAGCTGTGTACTGCAGACACTGTCTTCATGGTACTATTCACAGGAGACAGAAAAAGTAAAGCTCAAGAAAAATTCCATGAAAGAAACAGTCTCATCTATCCTTAACCCCTCATCCTTGTCCCTTGAGGTCAGAAGATGGCCACCGCAAGACACTGCTTCAGAAAACCAAGTTCCCATTAGGTTAATCTTTGAAACTGACGACTCTTGTGCTTTTGGCAAATTCCTATAAAGTACTTAAACCAGTGTATTCTGTGTAACAGATGTGGCATGAAAACTGACCTTTTAAGAATATTTGATGTTAACAGATATAATTAGTTTTTATTAAATTGGCTTATCAGGGAAAGTCCAATCAACCTGTATTTTATCTTCTAGGCCAATTCATCTTTCTGAGTTTATGATGGCCCTCGTACCATCACCTTGGCACTGGTTTGGGGAAAGCAGTCTAGGCTTCTGCCCAAGAATTGTATCCATACTTTTCTGATGATGAGTCTGAATTCAGTTCCCTTCACCTAGGAGACTTCCATAGCTGCCTCAGCTAATATATCACAGATACAGTTTGGGGAATCATAAATCATAAATGTGTGTGTTTACAGATGTAATCAGATACTGTGGAAAGCATCATTAGGCTCTGTAGCAGGCTGCATGGAACTTGGAGGGGAGGAGCACAGATTGCAGGAGGATGCGTCTCCCTCCAGATTCCACACATGTTGGCACAGGCTGGTTCTGTTCTTCAAGTGGGCTTCTAGTCTGAAAAGGGGCTGCAAAATGCTACTTCGTGCTTTAGTGTGTCTGAGTTCTGTTGCAGGGCTGATACACCCCGTTACACTTTGGGGCAGGGAACAAGGCAGCCAAGTTTGTGGGGCAGGGTATTCCACTTCCTGAGGCAGAGTCCTTTATTAACCTTAATGGTAGTGTGGGGCGGCCTGTCTGCCAAAATCAATACAATCACCCCTGTGGTCAGGGGAGTGTGGCACAATGGCCAGAGTTAATATCATTGGTGGGGTGAGCCTCAAATAGGTGGTGGCCAGGATACAGGGACCCAGGCCCTCTCTCCTTCTCCACCAGGGCCCTATTGGTGGCAGGTAAACCTGTCACTGGCTTGTCAGGTTTCCAACTGAAACACGCCAAGCCCTGAACTGGTTCTGTCCATTACCCTGGAAAATTCCCCTGGGTCATTTCCTACCCAAGTCTCAGTTTCTGCGATCCCCTGGCCTCTCTAACGTCTGTGATGTCCCCTGTCTGTCTGTCAGGGTTTGGCTTCATCTTGCTGGCCTCTTCCTGGGAGTGCAGGTGGGCCTCTCTGCACCTCTTTCCCCTCTGTCAACGCAGACTGAGCTGCTCTGCAGCCTTTTATACCCAAGCTCCAGCTGGAGCATGCCCAGCTCTGTGTGTGTGGGGGGGAGGGGGGAAGATGATTAACCCAGGGGATGGGAGGAGGCAATAATTTTTGATGGGACTCCACTCCAAGAATTTGGTAAATGGTCAAGGGCTGCACTCTGTGGTATTAAAAGAGGAGGTGCAGGATGGAGGTTGAGTGCAGAAGAGAGCTCAGGGCAAGGGATTAGGGTGCAGGAGTGGGCATGGGGTCTAGGAGGTTTTTTTTCTGAGAGAGGAGTAGTTCTGGCGTGGGTCAAGAGATAGGAGTGCAGGAGGGAGTGCAGGGTCTGGGGGAGGGAGTATGGATACAGGAGAGGGTTCTGATCTGGTGGAGGGGTGTAGGAAGGAGTTCAGGTCAGTTGTGAGTGGGGACTGGAATACAGGATGGGGTACAGAGGGTTTGGCTTATGACTTGGGGCAGGTCACTCCCATATCCCTCCTCCTTAGACTCAAGCTGGGTTCTTTTTTTGCACACATCTTCACTAATAATAAAGATGACTCACTTAGGCCCTCAGTGATACCTGTGAGCCGATTTCCTTGGTGGGTTTGCACACAGGTAGGAGAGTCTGTAAACAGTTCTGCTGATATGCCAGCTGCACAAGTGTGTGTGTATCCTGGGCGTCAGGCACACATATGCAGCTGACACTTTAGCCCACACTTCAGTGTCCTCATATCTTTTTTGAGAGAGCTAGCTAGAGCACATCTGGTGCTGCAACTGAACTGCAGATTGCACCACTGGTTGCAGTATAGACAGCTCCTTAGGTGTGTTGGTTCTGCAGGTCATGCAGGAGTAAAAAAGCCACAAAAGCAGGGTTTTGTCTCTCTGTATGCTCATATGATCAAATATTTAGAAAGAATGGGCCTGTTGAGCAAGAAGATACCATTTTACACTCAATAGGAGGGAACCTCAGAGTTGTGAACACCTCGGGAATAGAGATTGTTCATAACTGACAAACCTTATGGTGATTCTTTGAAAAGTTTATAACTGAGCAGTGACTTAAGTTTGGAATCTTTACTATGCAGAAGAAAAATGCTGCTTTTAATCGTCTTAATTTAAGTGAAACTGGGACAGAAGCAGATTCCATACCTTGTCAAATCATTTTAAACTTTCTCTTAAGTTTTTTAGTAGGGATGTTAAATTGTGAGTAATTAACTAATTGAATAGTCAATGCATTTTGCATCAACTATTCGATTAGTTGATAGGGTGCCCCCACCTGTGAAGTGTAGCAACAGCCTTAGCTACACTTCAAAGGTGAAAGGGCCGTGTGGAGCCCAGGATCAGCAGGGGACTCCCCCGGGCTCTGTGCAGTGCTGC